GCCATGTGTGTCAGAGTAGAGCTGTGCTCAGTAGGGTTTCCGATGGCTGATTTTTGGGAAGTAGATCTCCAGGCCTTTCTTCGGAGGTGCCTCTGGGTTGATTCGAACCTTCAACCTTTTCATTAGCAGCCGAGCATGTTCACTGTTTGTACCACCCAGGCAGCTAAATAACAAGACACAGTGATCACCAGAACAAAGCCAGAGGGGTGCCAGTGGGGGCTCATCCCAGGCGCCAGGGAAAGCCCCTGTCATGTGGGGGCAGAGCACCATGTGAGCCGAGTCCTGCAGGATGAGGGGCGGTGTCTCCTGGGAGGACAGAGCCCTCTGTTCAGCCTTGCAGTGGCTGTGCTTGGCACACAGCAGGATGCTCAGAGCTTGAAGGGTTCTTCAGTCCGTCTCTGCAGGCTCCAGATGATGTTGAAGTCAATGGAGTTGAGCAATTCCTCCCCGCAGTAACTTCTATGATTTGCTTACAGGTGCATGGAGAAATATGCCTTCGAGGCTATTTAGACACTGTCAGATTCTTGGAAGAGAAGGGTATGTACCGGGAGGGGCCGGACCTGCCCTCTGCACAGACTTTGTTCTTAGCTCTCTCGACATCCTGGGTCTATCACCCAGTGCTCAGTCTTTCAAGCGCACCTTGCTCAGTGCACTCTCGTCTCGCTCAATCCACTCGTTAGCCCCGTGAGAGAGGAAAACGTGGCCCATTTTACAGATGAGGACGCTGAGGCCTGGAGAAGGAGCCAAGGACCACATACCCCTGCGGGGCAGAGCTGGGCTTGGTGCCCAGGAAGTCCTGACTCAAGGGCTCTTTCTCCTTCCAAGTGTCCCCTTGTCTGAAGGCAATGAAACTTGTTTTTTTTTTTTTTGCTAGAACTATTGTCAGCCTTGAGTTTAACATGGGCTGAAGCTTCTGGGACGGTTGCCCCAAATGAAGCAATCAGCATAGTTGTCTCCAGGCAGCTATGAGTCACGCCCACTGGGCTAGCTCTTCTACGGGGGCAAGGGACGCCTTCCGTCGGCCTCTCGAAATATTCGAGTGGAGGCAAGTACTGGATATGCCTAGAGCTATTGTCTTAGTGACCTAGCGCCGTAACAATACCACAAGTGGGTGGCTTTAAAGAACAGAGATGGATTTTCTGACAGTGCTGGAGGCTAACAGTCCTCATTCAGGGTGTCCGCTCTAGAGGAAGGTCTCCTTCGGCTTCTAGTTGCTGCTGTTGAGTTGGCCCCCAACTCATGGTAACCCTGTGCACGACAGAACAGAATGGTGCCAGTCCCATGCCATCCCTGTGATCCGTTGCAAATCGGACTGTTGTGATCCGTAGGGTTTTCACTGGCTGATTTTCCGGCAGTAGATTGCCAGGCCTTTTCTCCTAGTCTGTCTTAGTCTGGAAGCTCGGCTGAAACTTGTTCAGCATTAGAGCAACACGCCAGCCTGCACTGATAGACGAGTGGTGGCTGTGCATGAGGTGCATTGGCCAGGAATTGAACCCAGGTCTCCTGCATGGAAGGCGAGAATTCTACCACTGAACCACCACTGCTCCAGTGGCTGTCCTTGGCTTTTCTGGGCTTGTAGATGCATCTGCCTGCATCTTCATATGGTGGCTTCCTCCGTGTGTGTGTGTGTCTGTGTGTGTGTGTGTGTGTGTGTGTGT